TTGGAAGAAGCCTCCCCCCATGCCATGTAAGCCAATGGGGTTGTATGACTATACCTCACCATGATGGTCAGAAAAGGTCGTTGAAGGGGGTTACTCATAACCGGTATAGATATCACTCGCCACTGACGTCAGCCATAGCTGGGAATCAAACTCCCCGGGTTCATGTTGCCCTGCCCTCACCATTTCTCCACCACTACATCAGCTACATTAGATATGGATGTTAACGTTGTATGGTGCTCCACGAAACCACGCGTAGCTGTCCTAAATCATTTACCGAAACATCAAATTCCCCCCCCCCCCCCCCCCACACACACACACGGGAGTATCTTCATGCTATCAACACATTCCATTATATTTTTATAAATTGCCCCCTTTGTATATATTTTTTGCTTCAATGTACCGGCATTAAAAGCTGAACGAGCCTTTGCTCAGCGTGTCAAAAATGCCTTAATTGGCGAGTAGGTGGGCTGAGTGGGCGGTGTGCCGTGAGCTGCAGACGATCCTGATAATGTCAAAATTTCCATGGAATGTCCTATGCGCATATATCTGCCCCCCCCCCTTTGTTATCTATTGGGAAATCTTCACCGTTTATCTTACAGTCCCTGCTGCCCTTATGCAGTATTGGTTACATTTACATACGAGGGTATCAACGTCCTTTATTTATCCCACTGCAAATCCATTGAGGTGCACATACGTCTCGTTATGCACCTTGCATCTGAGTTAAAAGAAAAGTCTGAAGTGGCTTTCCCAACCAGGCAATGATAACAAAGTGCTCATCTTCTCTTTACAGTCCCGAGGCGGTACCAGATGATGATTCACCATTTCTATGGTCAGGTTGAGTTAATCTAAAGTGAACGCATCTTGACTTCTCACAGAGGAATATTTGTGTTTATTGAGTCCACAACCCAACAGGCATGTGACCTCACCAGAAGCTTCAGGCGACCAACGATGCTGCTTGCCAGACTTTTCACCCGCATGCCTCATCCTGACCCATTCACCCAAGACTCCAATTCCTCCGCTGGCTCCCAATCCAGACCCAGATCAAATTCGACATCACACTCACCCCTCTTCACGATCCTACGTGGACGCTCCCCCTGGCTATCTCTCACTTCAATCGACTACGAACACCACCCCCTCCCCACCGCACAACACAAAATCTGCTTCGGCAAACGGAGACCTCGCGTTGACAACGATAATAAAATAAATGATATTTATAAAGCGCCTTCTGCAAGGTAACTCAAAAGTGGCGTGCATCTAAAAAAAAGAATAATCCAAATTAATCGTAGCCCAATGGGAGGAATAGCTAAACAAGTAATCGGAGCTATACTCTTTGGTTCTTTCGGTAAAGTCACGTAGGTATAAAATAAAATAAATTACCACAGAGTATGGATCCCTGCAGTCACGAAAACTTCAAATCTAGATTTAATCGGAGCTAATTGTGAGAACTCAAAGGAAGAGAGAATCTCCCTTTGCCTTGCCTTCCCATTAAACCAAAAGAATCCATGCTCCCAGTCCGTCATTGTCTCTATGTCCGTGGGGTAAGCGAGCACACCTCTCTCACTTTCACCTGCGCCGTGAGCACAGGGCCTCGGGGCTATTTTTGTCCGCAGAATTTCTGTACCCCCCTTTCCCTTTTCCATCGCTCGCGCTCTGTAGTACCGGGGGCTCTTGTTTCAAAATGAATAAATGCACGTAAAAAAAACGAACAAGAGAGAATCGACGCTTCTCGAGGCGGGGTTGAACCCCACACCGCCACCATCGGCCCCCCGAATCGTGAACAGCGCCTGGCAAAGGCGCTCCACACGGCAAAAGCCGCCCCCAGTCAAGCCCTCGATCAGTGGAAGGTCTCTCATTCTCCGGAGTCTGCAACCTTGAACTCCCCAGGTATCCGAGCTGTCGACTCTTTGCCATGACCGACTGCTTCTTTCTTTAAAATAAATTAGACCATTGTGTGTGCATACAGCACCTTGAGATGCATGCATTGTGAAATGCTATTTAAGTTGTACTATTGTATTTTATCATTACACTAGCTTTTTTGGCCGTCCAAGGACGGGTGTATATTGCAGTGGATCTGAAATATTCAATAGAAAAATTGTTCAGCTCATGATTATTGATGAGGGGGGGGGGGTTGCCCCATGTGGAGTGACGTCACCCGCTAATGGTTATTGGGGAGGGGTGCGGCATGTGGAGTGACGTCACCCGCTCATGATTATTAATGAGGGGAGGTTGCCCCATGTGGAGTGACATCACCCACTAATGGTTATTGGGGAGGGGTGCGGCATGTGGAGTGACGTCACCCGCTCATGATTATTAATGAGGGGAGGTTGCCCCATGTGGAGTGACATCACCCACTAATGGTTATTGGGGAGGGGTGCGGCATGTGGAGTGACGTCACCCGCTCATGATTATTAAGTGCGCGATCTTCTTGTGCGTTAGTGTAAATTTCCACGAGGGGCATGAATATTAATGAGGGGGGGGGGCTCTTTTGGAGTGACGTCACGCACGGATGTAACACTGTGCTGTGTAGATTGAATTTTTACCGTCACTTTCTGTCAAGAAACGTCATGTTGGAAGCAACTTTGCATAATAAATTATTTAATTCGGCTCGACCTTCCTCTGCGTTAGTGTCCCAAAATCCACTCACTCATGTATATTAATGAGGGGGGGGGGCTCATTTGGAGTGACGTCACGCGCGGGACGGACAGACATTTCTGGGTGATTATTACCATTACATGCCTAATAATTACATCACTGTGCGAGCCTTAATAATGTGCTCACTAGTAGCTATTTCCCCGGTACAGCCTGTAGAGCTAAATGTGTACATATGTATTGTCTTTAAGCATTAAGCTCATTGTTATTATATCTGTGTGCAGATATACTGTAAGTACTGTATGCACCTTTGGAAAAGCGTTCATGATATGAACATCCTTACTGTACGGAGTTTGCACGACATCAATACTGGAGGAGAATTTGTGTAGTTGCTCTCATGGTCTGGAACTCCCTTGACTGTGTTTTTTTGGAGTACCGTGCCAAGTGTTTTGCGGTAGGCGGCGATGATTGCAACAGATCTTTGAACTAAGTAATTTGATTAAACAAAAATAATGTAATTTACTTAACCAGATAAATCAGGGAGTCGTATACATGTTGCAAAGGTGTCCTGTATTATTTGCATTTATGACCAATTCATATTTGTCAATGATTGTTTTGCAAGTGGGGGAAATAACCGGGGAAGTTATTGAGAAATTCACACCATGCAAACAGAGATCGGATGCACACATCCAGACTGATGGTTGTTATGAATCCACTTGTTCTACTGCCATCTCCTGCCACCTGGGGAGCTCGGCGGGTTATGGAGTCTCACAAATCTACATGACTTACCAACCCTTGTCTCAAAATAATAATTAAAAGTAAAAAATACAATTTGTACCGAACACAGTGTTCGCTCACTCTCGTAGACAGAGAATGGACTCAGAGGGGCGAGGAACCACAGACAAGCGAGAAGGCATGCCACCGTGATGAGTCGGCATCAACAATTGCCCAAGCTCTGCAATCCTCTATATATTAAGATGTTATCGGCCATTTTGATGAGTGTTCACAGAGTCATTATATTACAGGCATCCCGCTGTGATTAAACAGTGCGTGAGTGTGAGTGCATGTGCGAGCTATTGCTGCTCCATACCCAGGTCACTGCTCATGTGTTCTGCTGAACAGATTCCGGTGTGGGGAGGGAGGGAGGTTGGCCGGACCGGCTTCAATCTCCCTCCCCACACCAGGGGCCAACATGATTGAAAACTCATCATAGATTGAAAACTAATATCTTTAGAACTGCTTTTTGTCTTTAGTTTGTTGTCCTTGCCCCGCACCTCGGATTAGCACGGTTGGCTACGTACGGTGCAGAATAAGTTCAACATACATGCGTACATACAACGTGATCACAATCCACTCTGTGGTTGTGGATCAGTCACAGGCTGTGCCGCACACTGTCGGCAAGTGGCCTCTGACCGCACTCGATGGGAGACTCAGGGCCCTGGCCTCCCACGTCGCTGACGCAGCGGCCGTCTCCTGGCTCGGCGAGTCGAACGTGCGACGATAAGTGCAAACTCTTACATCGCCACCCTTGCCCGATGCCAAACTCCCCGTTGTTATCAATCATTTCAGTTGTAGGTTTAAAATGTGAAAAGTATACGAATTGTAACGCTAAAATCAAAGTTAAAACAAACTGAACTATTTTCATTCGAAACACACGGCTGGTGATTCTATGGCTTTTACGATCAAGTTAACAACATTAATACGAATTTTTCTGTAGTGTCGTTCATGCACATTGCATCTCAAAACGCCGTAGACTATGTTATGCGCACTCTTTTCACGCGGAGTCACAGGAAATCACAGTGAAGTGGGATGATAGCCATAAGTCACGTATAGTAGCTTTTTCATAGTGCTACTGTATACACATATATAATATATATCTTGCAGGCCACTTCAAATCAAAGGTCGCAACTTCTACAGCCCGGACATTAGACACTTATTTTTCCGCTTCATTCCTCGCACCACTCCACTTTGGAATTCCCTCCTCCCAATTTGTCTCTTTTCCCAATTTCTCGTAAGAATTGAAGAAATGTGTGAACTCTCATCTTTTTAAAACCTTAAAAGAAATGTTATTTTTTTATTAAAGGACATTAAAAAATATAATGAACAGACAGGTACCAAAATAAAATATAAGAGTAATAGAGAAAGGCAAGCTAGATTGAAAACAACAAAAGACAATGTAATGTTTTGCCTGGGAAAATGCTCGGTGCAGGAAGCCAGGTAAGACAGCGAATTAAGTTACGGAAGCAATTTGAACATTTAGATGCAACCGACAGTATCAAATCCAAGGTTCGTGAATAATATAATGGACAAAGGCAAATGGAAAGCCAGAAAGGATATGGCACAAAGAAAACGAGAGAGAGGGCACAGTGCGGGCCCTTGCTCGGCAGCTGTAACCAGTGGCCTGGCGGTACCTGGTGGATCTCGTGCCAGCCATTCTCATCCTCGCAGCCGATCGTGGCGTGGTCCTGCAGCAGCAGCTCGCAGCAGCGTGGGTCGCCCCCCACCACGGCCGTGTGGTACAGCGGCGTCAGCCCGCGGTTGTCCTTGTAGTCGGCCGACGCTCCCAGGTCCAGCAGCGTCTGAGCAAAAACGGGCATTTCACCAACGACGTGGCGGCACAAGACTGCGGTGCCATGAGGCACGTTCGGTGGATCACGAGGATATGTAACCGTTGCATGCGACTGGTTCTGAGATATGTGATTATTTGAGTATCTGATTACTCTACCGATTATCGGTTCAATTACTCCACTTTATTGGATAGCATTAAAAGATTTGTAGCTGTCGTGACTGCAGGAATTACTCTTTGGTTCTTTCGGTAAAGTCATGTAGAAAGAAAATAAATTAAATAATAGAATACGACGTTTCGATTGCAACACAAGCAGTCGTCATCAGGAAGAACTAAATTTGAGAGAGAGACAAAACACAGACACTATGTTGCGCGTCTCTCTCTGTGTGTCTCTGTGTTGTCTCTCTCTGCTTGTGTGTCTGTCTGTGTGTCTCCGTGTCTGTGGGTTGTCTCTCTCTCAAATTTAGTTCTACCTGATATGACGACTGCTTGTGTTGCAATCAAAACGTCGTATTCTATTTAATGAATTTCTTTATACATGCCTTTACCGAAAGAACCAAAGAGCATTAAAAGAGTCGGGAAGAAAAGTCTCACCTCTGTTCCCAAGTGTGCTGCTCGAAAGGAGGTGTGGGACACAGCTTGATGACATCATCGGCATCATCATCATCCATATCACACTTGGTGTGGCTTACAGATAGTTTCCTGCCTTCAGGGCGACTGGAACGTGGGGGAGGCCAACATTTTTGAAAGCGACTCGAGCAATCGACCACAAAAAAGTGTGTCGATTATAATTTTTAGCCAGTTGATCGATTTTGTAAGGTATCACCCCAGCTCTTTGTGATAGACAAACACCTCCTGTCTGCCGGTTAAAGAGAGTAGGCAGGGAACCATGCATCTGTTCGTGGATTCAAATCTATCCTCATGCTCACACTACACACTTCAAAGTCTGCAATTAACATCAGTTGTTTACCTCTCGTGCACATTATATGGAAATGTTATGCCAATGTCGCATCACACTAATGTTTGAAACAATACGTACACAGAAGTTACAAGAATCAATTCTCGATATAGAAGTGTGATCCCCTAGTCCTGAAAATCAGTTGAATCTGTTGTTGGGAGTCAAGGGTGCGGTGGTGGGGGGTGCATGGAGGAGGGAGTGGATTTGTGACATGCCAAGAGACACCTGTAGACGCCAAAACAGGGGCTTTTCACATTCCTATGGATGCGAAGTCTCTTCCATGATGCTCATGAGATTCTCATTAAAAATATACTTTGAGGTATTTATGTTTAATACATATGCTGTCATTTCATGTAAACCTCGCTGTATATTCATGGACCATTACTCTCCACCACTGTGCACAATCTCGCGGTATGCTCCCTTGCTGTAACCTCTGACAACCCAGCAACAGTTGTTTGGTGATAAGACCCATGAGATAAAAACGGCTCCAGAGTTTGCATGCTTTACTATGTTTACAGGGAAATATTAGTCTCGGAAGGCCACAGGCCAATTAAAAAAAAAATCACTTATTTTGTGTGGATACATTTTTTTTGTCCCAATTAAAATGTTCCTTGACTTAAAATAAATATTCAGTGGGTTGGCCAAAACATCTCTCAGAAATAATCTTGTGAAAAAGTCTGGATATCAATTTTAGCCCCAAGACTGACACAGCACAGGGAGGCATGCGATGGTGTATTTAGACAAGGCTGTATATTGTTATCAGTTTAAATGAGGTAAGTAACTTACCAAATGGTGATGGGTTTTTATTCACAGCATTTTACTCACGATGGTAAAGTGTTAAGTTCCAATCTCATTGCTGTGCAGATTGTGCATATCATCCCACCTGCGTCAACACAGATGAGTATAATACTGGTAGGAACCTCCTGGTTATAACAGCCCACAGGGGATTATTGTGTCCGTCCGTCCGTCGTGCATCCAAAAATGGGAGGGGTGGGGCTGGGTGGAGAGGGGAGGGTGGGGAGGGGCTGGGTGGGGAGGGTGGGGAGGGTGGGGAGGGGCTGGGTGGGAGGGTGGGGAGGGGCTGGGTGGGGAGGGTGGGGAGGGGCTGGGTGGAGAGGGTGGGGCTGGGTGGGGCTGGGTTGGGAGGGGCTGGTCACCCCGTGGTGCCCTTATAAAACTCAACGTTTAACCTACTCACGCCGGCTTGTGCCCGGCCTCACAATCGGGCATATTTGCGGAATACACCACGCCGCCATTGACCCTGGCCATTGACCGAGCAACCCAACGTTCCTACCAGATCCTTCCGCAGGAATGTGTTTCTGTGGGAAAGTCAATCATGGTTGTCCATGGGATCGACACATTTCCACGACTGTTTCAGGGCTTTCAATTGACAATCAGAATCAGAGTCTATATTTCGACTGCAGGAGGAATCTGAAGAGCTATGAAACTCTTTTTGACAGATGTCCAGTATGTGCGGGTCTGCCAGTTACAAGAACAAACAATAGATGTGAAAGCCATCCCCAATGTTCACGGTTTACTGCCAGTAAGGCATGTGATGAGCTCAGTTTTTAGGGCACAATATTCCACTGTGTAGGCATTCAAATAGGCCACGTTTCTCGCTTGGCCCCGACCATAAAATGGCAGATGGGGGGGGGGGGTCCCAGTGGAAGGAATATTTACTAAATCTGGATGGGGGATGGGGGGAAACTTAACTAGGGCAGGTCTCCAAGCACAGTTTACCACGTTTGTAAACGCTGGGCAGTGGTAGCATTAGAGAAGTAAAGCATTTGCGCATTGCTTTACATCTGAACGTTGTAATGTGTGACGTCATTATGTTGACAATACACTTGTGTCAAAAATAGCTTCCTCTTCCCACATGCTATAACTGTGCCCTGTGCAAGACGGTCCGTACAAAACCTTTTGTTTCTGGCATTGAACATCTGTAAATGAATGTACTGACGGTACGCCAGTGCGTGGTAAAATAAAATCAATCTTTTCATAATCATTGTTTATTTTCCCACAATTCGCAAACGCCGGTCAGAAAATCTTGCTGGGTGGTATCTCAAAAGCAGTTCTCGTGATGTCGAAGCAGTCGGAAGACGCATGTCAGTTCAAATCTTGATTTTAGAACCGTCTTATGAGGACCGGTGTACCGCCAACACGTCCAAATGATTATGTTGTCCTCTCTGCTCATATTAAGAATTAATTTTCCTGACAATTCTGTGCATGTGGAGTGACATTGATGAGTCACTGGAGCGTGTGCCGCTGGAAGATTGGTAGACAATAGAATTAGGGGAAGCAGCCCGTTCTACCATTTGGACCTGTGGGCAAGGCACGGAGCCATCTGGGGGATCCAGAGGGGTGCGGGGCCGAGGGCGGAGCCTGGCCACGTTGGGCAGGGTATGAAGTTGAGCTCGGGGGCTGCTGCGATCTGGAGTGGAACTCGTCGTGCCGTCGTTGTGATCTTCGCCCTCTTCAAGCTGTGGGTCTGGTAGCGTGTTGGCTGTCCCGACCCGGTGTGTGTGTGGTTATCCCCTAAGGCTGTGAAGGCCGTAATAAAAGAGAGAGAGAGAGTACCTCCTACTCGTGTCTGTGAATTGGCACACTACACGTGTGAAATAAAGGTTGATTGTATGGTCCTCACAGAAGGAGTAACTTTTTTTAAAAATCCACGAATAAAGTCCAAGGAAGTTGCAGGCTGCTGATGCATTCAGATGTTAGCCCTCTTGTTCACAACCCACTCTGATGCACCATTGATGCCAATTAATCTAGAGCCTTGTGGTGTAGTTTACATTGAGTGATCACGCAATGCAGAGTGAGGGGATGCTGTTTGTTAGGGATTGGACAGAGAGCGACTTGGACCAGGAACATTACCGAGTTACTCACATTACAAATATATGATCAAATGCCAATAAATACTGCGGGTATATTTAACTGTAAAACACACACGTGCCATGTGCTTCACAGTGGATGGTAACGATTCCATGATGTCGTTTGCAAGAGTAGGCCATGGTGTGCCAGCTCAGAAAATCGGGCTTTATCAAGCTATTGCAAGAAGGCATAGCTCCCGAGCAGGGCTGCTCATACGTAAACTTTGCTTGATGCAGTACAAATTGTTACGACTCATTGCGCATGCTTTGGCCCGAACGCTCCCGACATTAAGCTTGCGGGATTGTTTACAATACTCGGGCGTAGAGCCTTGTCCATTTATTGAGCTGGTAATCATACACTAAACTAAACAATTGTTTTGGTATTTGATCAGTTAAGGCTCACTGAGCTATATAGCTCATTTTTCAGAAGTGGTGTGTCTATTTCAAAGGATAGCTAAACAAAGTGGCTTATCGCGTGTAAATGTACTGCAGCCAAATAAATGCACGTTCGTTCTAAATGTGCAGGGAAGAATCGGAGGACCTGGAGAAATGTCCACGCGACCACCATGGGGAGAACATGCAAACTCCAAATATACAGGTTTTAGGGTCTGGATCAAACCCATGAACTCCCGTATACCAGGCGAGGTAGCTAGCATCTTGCCAGAGTGGTGCTCAGTTTCGAGCTTCCACCCGAAACACGTAAAGTCAATGCTTGCGAGCCTATTCAAGAGTAGACATGCTCGTGGAGTCGTGGTGAATTGCAGCACAAAAAATTAACGTGCAACGCACCTCTGTACGCTTCACACGAGGTTATGTTCTTTCAGTTTAAGGTGATCTCGGCATGTTACTGTGAAGGGTGCATGATGTTTAACCGAACATGGAAAATACATGCTAGGGCATGACACCAGGAACAACACCGAGAGGCCCTGTGGGCTGCATAAATGAGTGTCAGTTATCCATCAGCGCAGGTGGGGCTAGAGGAACTAACTACAGACTCATCGGGTGATTTTGGTCCTAACGCTAGGCCATAATTACCCGATGAGGTGTCTTCACATCGACAGAGGAGAATTGCTGGCAGGTCTCTAATGTTACCGCATCGCCACATCACACCACTCCATCCTTCAATCAACCCTTTCCTATTCCGATGACATAACTGTACTTAAACTAAAATAACTTTATCGGTACCGAGGCTACCACAAGGCCATGCGGGAGGGCGTGTGGCACAGTTTGGCGCCAGCTATCGTAGAGTGTGGTTGTGTCGCTACAGTTCTCTGCGGTGAGAACAATGTCTTTAAAAACAACGGCGCTACGCCTCTTTAAATAAAGTTAACAATAACCGCTTGTGAATTCCGAGATTCAGCGGTGGACGGGACCCCACCCTGCAACTTGCCATTGCCTCGGAAAGGGAAGGGGTTAAGCATCACACTTACAGACACATGTTACTGAGAGGAAGATAGTCCTTGTGTTCAAACACAGAAGAGGCTCGTTAAGAGGTAAAAGCGGAACCAAGGGAGCTATGTTCAAGATGCCTCGATTGTTATTGAGATATTCAAGGATGAGTGGCAAATGGTGTCAAGAGCAGGAGTGAGGTCTAGGATAATCCATAGTGAGATGGATCCACAATCACAGGTGGAAGGTCACGACCATATGCAGGAGGAGAGCCATCACTGTAGCATTACCTCTGTGAACATCAGAACATAATGTGCAATCGGCACCAATTACAGTCATCCCTCAGTTAACAGTGACATCGGTGAATGGATTTCGGCTAACATTATGTCTTCCAAAGAACCCTACGCTTTAGACTAAAGTTAACATTTTGATTAATAGCACGTTTACATTATCCACGTGGGGTGCCAATTTTGGCCAATCCGAGCACTCATAGGTGGGGCTGAGCCATTCCCTCAGCCAATCAGCGACGCCCATTTATGAGCTTTTCGACCTTGACTGGCTTTGTTTACATTACGGTTTATGTTTTTTTACAGTGGAAACAGCTCTCTTCGATTAACAGTTATTGCGATGAAAAGTAGTTTCCGTGCAATGGATTAAAAACGACGACTGTACATTCGAATTGTCCTCACTGAGTCACGTCGTCAAACATAATTCAGTCAGACGAGCGTCACGTTATGTCGGGAACCAGTCCATGGTGGTGATCCCAGAAGACGATGACCCCAGAAGACAATGATCCCAGAAGATGATGACCCCAGAAGTAGATGACCCGAGAAAATGACCCCAGAAGGAGATAACATCAGAAGATGACCCCAGAAGATGCCCCCAGAAGAAGATGACCCGAGAAGAAGATGATCCTAGAAGGAGAAGATCCCAGAAGGAGATGACCCCAGAAGATGATGACTCAGAAGATGATGACCCCAGAAAATGACCCCAGAAGACGATGACTCAGAAGATGATGACCCCAGAAAATGACCTCAGAAGGAGATGACCCCAGAAGACGATGACTCAGAAGATGATGACCCCAGAAAATGACCCCAGAAGGAGATGACCCCAGAAGACGATGAATCAGAAGATGATGACCCCAGAAAATGACCCCAGAAGCAGATGACCCCAGAAGATGATGACCCAGAAGATGATGGCCCCAGAAGATGACCCCAGAAGACGATGACCCCAGAAGATGATGACCCCAGAAGATGACCCCAGAAGATGATGACCCCAGAAGATGATGACCCCAGAAGATGACCCCAGAAGATGATGACCCCAGAAGATGACCCCAGAAGACGATGACCCCAGAAGATGACCCCAGAAGCAGATGACCCCAGAAGATGATGGCCCCAGAAGATGACCCCAGAAGATGATGACCCCAGAAGATGACCCCAGAAGACGATGACCCCAGAAGCAGATGACCCCAGAAGATGATGACCCCAGAAGAAGATGACCCCAGAAGCAGATGATCCCAGAAGATGATGACCCCAGAAGACGATGACCCCAGAAGAAGATGACTCAGAAGATGACCCCAGAAGCAGATGACTCAGAAGATGACCCCAGAAGCAGATGACCCCAGAAGGAGATGACCCCAGAGCACAACTCTACCCAGTGCTACCCCGCCACAAGAATATGTAGATGTTAAAAAAAAAAGATGCTACGACTACCTCGTATCATACATTATAGTAGGAAAATGTGTTGGCCATGGGTGGGGGGGGGGGGTTGGGGATAGTTTGACCATACTTCACCAAGCTGGTCACTGCCAGTTAGTGATGGTAAAACACGTAGTACCTCACCTAAATATGCTCTGTGAAGAGTGGTTGACAACACATGAACCAACTATATATTTTAACAAATCATATCCTTCAATGCTGTGCTGAGGCCATATTAAATTAGTGTGAGTCGATATATGTGTGTGTAAGTCTATGTGTGTGTGTGAGTCGATTTGTGTGTGTAACTACATGTTTGTGTTTCTAAAGTCGATGTCTGTGTGTGAGTCCATATGTGTGTGCGTGTAAGTCGATGTGTTTCTATTTGTGTGGGTCGATGTCTGTGTGTAAGTCCATGTGTGTGTCTGCCTTTTTCGCCCGGGCAACGCCGAGTACTTACCGCTAGTTACTATATATAAAAACATAATTTCATTAACAGTAGTGTTTTGTGTAGACACTGGTGATCTGGCTAAGAGCTATCAATGGTCACAACACACGTGAGGTTGCCGGGAATCGAACCGAGACTCCCAGTGTTGAGGGCTCAGTGCTGCGACATGGCAATTACGATCCCACACCCACCCCCCTCGAGCCACGCAGCCACCTATTTATTAGTTTCTTAACGTTTAGCAAGTCATAAAACCTGCGCAAAGTCGTGGTTTTGGCGCATCCCTAACATCCCGTTGCTTACACATTTGCTGCGAACTAATCTCATTCTCTCCACAACAACAACAACAACAGTAAAATGCAGCGACGAGAAACGAAAACATAGGTGGAAGCAACGGAAAATTAATTCCCACGACTCTGGGGGATTGAAAATGAAGCTTTTCATGCACGTTAACCTCCTATTGTGTGAGTCTGGGGTGTGGGGGGAGGGCGCGTTGATCTATTGCTTAATGGAGGGGCTGCTCCAGCGAAGAGCTCCTGGGGAGGGGGGTCCCAAAACGAGCATTTAATGACCCCCCCCCATCTTATCACTTGGTCTTTTCCCGCAACTCCGTGCGGTGTGAAAGAAATTGAGCGCACATACATTCTTATCGATGGGGGCCTTCTTTTTTGCCAGTATGCAAAATGAGAAAAGGTTTGACCCTTTCTGGCAATATAAACAAGTGTTAAGATCTTCAAACACCAAATAGATACCTTTTTTGCAAGGCATCAAGTCTGCATTAACCACACAGGCACTTGTGGTGAAAAAAAACATGCAAACACACGTTCTCTGATAACATATGCATTGTCTTTGAAATTGATTGGCCTACACCAGAGACAGCTTTCTTTAGGGCTTAACTCACCAGTGTCAGAGCAGAGAACGCCAAAATACGATCAGTGCAAAAACAATGCCAGACAACGTACATACGTACATCTCCAGGACACGAGTGACCACGATGTTTCGTTTATGATGTTTAAAGTAACTTTGGAAATGCTCTTGGTGTTTAGTTTGTTGTCCTTCCCCGCACCTCCAATTGGCGCAGTTGGCTGCGTACGGTGCAAAAGAAGTTCAACGTACATAACTACAAGCACTGATCAAGGCCAATAATATTAATGTTGTGCTCTTGTTAGATGAACATTTCCGTGGAGAATCGTCAACGGAGCAGCGCTTTTTGTCCTCGCATCGGCAATGTCCCTAATGAGTTGACGTCGCAATCCTACCGCAGAAGTGACGTGCTCGTGCAGCCTACACCCGTGCTTTCGTGTAAGCTCTCCGACTTTGGTTGTAATTGCAGATTTGATGATTGGTGACAATGCACAGCGTTTGCGTGCTCGCCGCTCATCGCAGAGGTTCACAGTTTAAATACAGCGGCCGCCCTGATTATTACGACAGGTGTAATAGCCATAGTAGTACTCTGCACCGTCTGCTTCAGAGGGGGTGTTAAGCCTGTCCCATTCGTCTGCAGGTTGCAAGGTGGGGTCCCGTTTACCGCTGAATCTCGGAACGCGCAAGCTGTTGCCGTTAATTTTATTTAGAGAGGCGTAGCGCCGCAGTTTTTAAAGACATTGTACTGTACTTAGCGCAGACTGCACTCTATGATAGCTGGCACCAAAATGTGCCACATGCCCTCCCGCATGTCCTTGTACTTACAATTCTGTTCAGAATCGATTCCATTCCGATGACCTAAACGGACGTAAATGTACGTAATCGGAATGGAATCGGAAGATAAACTGATGACATACGCGCACGTCATCGGAATGCGAAACGGTTAAAGTTCCCCTGATGTAATTCGCAAAAGTATGCCATTGTGTGCCGGCATCTAGGTCGATGCCAGCAGACTTGCATGTAACTTGTGGCATTACACATAGCAATCATCGCACCCGACTATCAGTCTATTGCCTCAGGTGACTCTTTAAAATGAGACTATCCTGGTCTCCCGAGTTCTCATGTAGGCATCGGTTCAACAAAAAAAAGTGAAGGTTGGGCCCAAAAGCCTCTTCCCTCATAAACATTGTGCCATCTTCAGCTGCGAACTCTTGTCTCGTAATAACTACACATTGGCACATTATACCTATGCAAGATGACCGTGTAAAACCGCCACCGCCAAACAAAATTGTTTTAACCAAAGTAACCTCTGTAGCCTTTTATTCACAAAAAACTACTACCGCACCCATGTCCGGGATTGAGGGCTCACCCGCAGCGTGATGTAGTTCCAGACGCGCGCGGCCTTGTGCAGGGCCGTCATGCCGTCCCGTGCCCGGTAGTCGAGGTGCGCGCCGCCGTTCCGGAGGGTGACGATCATGTCGGAGCCGCTCGTGAGCTGCGCCGACATGGTGAGCGGCGACTCTGCGGTGCGGGAAGGGTGAGTGCCGGCAGTGAGATCGGTCGGTTAGGATCTGTGTGGGGCAACCATGGCATGTAGGTGCGGTTAGAGTTGGCAGAATCGTCGTCGCCGTCGCGGCTTGTGAGTATGAAAAGCGCAGCCAAGGCTAGGTGTTGAGCTCGGACAGTTCCACAAGTGTACAGGATGTTGGTAAGGGCCACTGCATCAGGCAGTGTGCAAACGTTTACCCAGGTTATCAAAATGAGAAGGTCGCAAGATAAAACGGTGGTTCGGGTTAGACTTAACCCCTTAATTGTCCTGGGGACGATCAATTAGCACTGCCTTGTGGGAATTCAGCAGTGGCTGTATTCCCTGCGTAAAGTGGTTCTCGTGTGTTTTTCAACACTGATTCAAGGCTGTAAATGGAAATGAGGCGAGCACGGAGACACTTTGATATCACACGATGAGAACATACACATGTTGATTACCTCCAACCTTGGAGTAATGCATTGACTGTTGACAAAACATCGTCAGAAGCGATGGTGGCTGATGACCAAGGCTGGCAACAGAGTAGCAGTAGAGAGGAGGGGACATGTCCAAGAGGACAACCACTGCACCAATGGAGGGCCAGCTTCAGCTCGGGTAACTAACTATTTAACAATTTGTATTCACCAGGCAAGGCTCACTGAGCTATACAGCTCTTTTTCTCAGACGTGACCTGGCCACAAATGATAGTTCAACGAAGTGGCTCATCACGTGGACATTTATAGCAGCCAAATATTATGAACGCGTGTTGATTCTAAATGTGGAGGGAAAACCCAGAGGACTCGGAGAAAAATTCACGTGACCACAGGGAGAGAGACACGCAAACTCCAAATATACAGGCGTCAGGGTCGGAATGAGAATCCACGACCTCCTGTATACCAGGCAAGGTAGTTAACATCTCCGAGCCACCGGGGCGCCCCTCTCGTCAAGTGCAGGAGCTAAATGGATTATTGTATCATGAGACTGTTATGAGGGATAGTGACGACTTCGAGAGGCCTTCATCCAACAGTGGATTGATCATGCCTGATGATGGGGATACGAGTCACGTATTAAAACAATATATTGGTGTTACACATTACTGGCAGGTGATGTGATCCTAATTCAAAAAAATGCTAAATGTAAGCACGATGTTATCTTGACAAGAACGAACCATGTGTTCAGGCAAATACATGACATGTTTCCCTGGGAATTCTGCTCAGAAATGTGTTGCAAGTAAAAAAAAACAATAACGTGTCACTGCCAATTTGAAACGTGCACTGCACCGTATGCGAGACGAAGACCACGGCTTTTGTGAGGGCGCGTCCAATTCACGTTTCGAAGTGAACATCGCACCACTCCCCGCCACCGCGATCGCTCGGCTCCGGAGGTGTGCGAGCAATGTTAATTAATTTCGCCATCAGATCTGGTCGCATCTGCCAAGAGCCGCATGCCGATTGCCGCGTTGGGGGGGGGGCGGAGGCAACTGGGGTGTTGCTCCATCTGCCACAGAGTTCCACGGAAGAGCGAGAGCAGCTGCCTCCCCAAACCTCCCCACATCCACTTTAGACGCCCTCACAGAGCTGGCTGCACGTGTTAATCTGTGGACGTGCGGCTGGATGATCTCGTACACGTGCTAATTGAACGAACGTGAAGGTTTGTAGGGCAGATATAAGCTCCGGCGGGTCGCTGTGGTCAAAGTCTTAGTCTCACAAAGGGAAGGTCGTAGATTTAGATCCCGGGTTGTTCGGGGTTGTAACTCAACTTCATAATCCCTTTGCTTCGGATAGACGGGCTCCTTCCATATGAACGTGGAATTTCCAGCAATGGATTAGGGCTACCGATAGAGATATGCAACACCCCCCACGCTCATAGCTCATTTGTCTACTTGGGCCCGAGTTGATAAAAATGGCTTTAAAAAAATAGACTTGCAAAATGACTTCTCCAGCTGTCAGTCTTTTTTTTCCTTCTGCCATGAAAGGCACACCACCCAATATATTAGCGTCTGTTAAATTTCTTTCAGCTATAAGGCCGAGTTTATGAAGAACAACTCTAGTGATGTGTCCTCGCCGCTACAACATCACTCCCCAAGGAGCGCCATACTGGTCTTAATAGGTGATTGCTCGACAGCACTTTGCCCCCAAAAGTATGTACAGGGAGGCAGCTTTGCACGCATGTGTATACACACAAATATACATTCACACGTACACAGTCGGGAAGGCGAAGTTTACCCGTGTGCAGCCTTGGAGGCTCCAGACACGCGTCACAAGGGTGCTGGAGGCAGGTGGATGAAGGTGGAGAGCTACGTTTTATTCCCGGCCATGGCTAACATTGGTCAGTGGTGAGTGATATTTGAACCTCCAATGCAGCTCCTCTTCACCAACCTGCACTGGCCAGAGCAGTGAAGTATGGTCAAACAGCCCCCCTTTGGCTGAGAGCGTAGAGTGGCCTTCATCTAATGTGCTGTAAACTATCACGATTACTGTCATTGTATTATTACCAAAAGGTTAAAGGGCCTTTTGACTTGTCAGGGCCTGTCAGGGCCTGTATTTGTGATGCAGGTGTTGCTCTTAAGCAGGTGGCCTGCCACTGTAGCCTAGATCACTGTCTTTGGCCTGTTGATTTTATACACATACTGTCGTAATGCAATTAATTTACCAATCGTTTCGAGCTACTTTCATTGCACACATGGGAAACGATGGGGCGGTGGCCTCCGATAAATCTGGTGACCTAGGTTCGAGTCCCAGCCATGGCAAACGTCTCTGTCGCCTGTTCTGAGCCTCTCCTTGACCAACTCAGCCTGGAATGGGTGCATGGTACGGTGTGCACTTTGGAGATGAGGGTTCGTGCATCGCCATGGGATGGGTGTGAGTTGGTGGATTGAGGTTGGTGGGTCATCAGTAGTCAATTCAGCAGCATAACTTGATTGTCATCATCATCTTCATTTATCATCATCATAAATTTGTTTTCATCACTGCAAGGACCACAATCATCAACATTATCGTCGCAATCATCTTCTTCATGATCATCATTATCATCTTCATCGATTCTACACCTCGGTTGAGGCCGGAGCAAGGCTGATGCCTATAAATAATTGTCTTTATTTATTCTTGTTTCCCCAGGAAATCCTCAATGAGTCTTAATATTTATTTCAGGAGGTTCCTGCCACGTGTCTGCAGTAGGGGCCAATGTAATCAGCATTGGGATGTTTGGCCAGTACCAGTTACATTGTACTTTTCTTTTTGCTGTGATACAAAACTGGAATACTCGGAGGGAACATATGCAGAATAAAGGTAGAACATACTCAGAAATCAAACTCAGGTCCTTTTTTGCCGTTTCCACTGTGCCAGTCTGCCGCCAAGCAAATTAACGATGACAATGATGACAATGATGGTGACGATGGTGAGGAGCGGTAGTGCAGCGGTTAGCGCGCTGGGCGAGAAATCCGGCGAACCGAGTTCGATTCTCGTTCATGGTCAACACCAGTGACGATTATCTGAACCGGTTCTGGGCCTCCCCTAGGTCGACTCAGCTTCAAACGAATACCTGGTGCGGTGTGCAAAAACATCGCCACTCGGGAGACAAAAGCGGCCAGGCGTGGTGTTGGCCACCCACCCCCTGGTGTGCCGTGCCAGCCTTCATAGGTGCTCGCTAACAGCACTTGCCCCAACAGTCTGTTAAGGCTATACGGGGAATATTTGTCTACGTCTTTTGTGTTCGTGCATGAGGCTGTCAAAGTCTGTCTAATAGGCCCGGTCTGCCAGGGAGAAGAAAGTGCCGACTTCGGCACCTACAGTTACCGCCGGCACTGTGGAATTCCGCAAAAATAAACTGCAAAAGCAAACTCTGCATGAATGGGGCCCAGAGTCTCTGGCATCCATTCTGTGTTTTGTGACCGCAAAATTACCTGCTGCAGCTGTAGTGGGAATACATCTGGTGAATGTGGAGGCTGCTAAGCCACTCCACTGAATAACTTATTGTGGATGTGGTCAGCGATGGACCGTGTTGTCATAGAATGACAACGAGTGGCCTCTGACTGGACTTAACAGTGGACTCAAGAGTTCTCCCTCCGCACTGCTGATGAAGTGGCTGTCGCCTGGCTCGGTGAGACGAGCATACCAAAATTATGTTAACTAATAAACTCATTGAGCAGATAACCGCGCTGCGTTTGAATGTTTCCATGCGACTGATTCTCGGCGCTTTACGCAACGCTATTGTTATTCTTCCTATTATGAGTGTAGAGGTGTAATTGCGCATGGCTACGAATGTTGAGGTGTGATTATGCATGGCCACGGATGGCCAACAAACACAATGGGCGGGGTTACGGCCGTACACAAGGGTGGCGCTAGCACCGACGTCCGCATGTGTATCCCCCACGGGCCCCCCCTCGGGGGCGAGTCCTATAAAAGGTGATGAGCTCGAGGGCTCGAGGTCGGGACTCAGCTTTAACCAGAGAAGACGGAAGACCAGCTAGTGTAGGCCCCAGAGCTCCCCTGGCTCGCTGTCCTTATAAGGGCCGACCAGGGCAAGCCGGTGGCGTGGCCCCGAGAGCCCAGACGAAGCTGGTCTGGTGACTCAGGGAGCCGGGATCCCAGCTTAACCAAGCTGGGACAGATAGCCTCCCCTAGTCCCGTAGTGGAGGAATTGGTATAGGTTAGAGGGGTTAGCTGTCGAGAATCCCTGTAGCCAAGTGACCTGTACAACTGTGTTGGTGTAATAAATAAGTGTGCCTCCGATCCTGTCGTCAAGCCTCCATATATACTTACTACATCTGGTGTCAGAAGTAAACGTCCAACGATGGACACACGAGGGACGACACGTACCAGGGAGTCGGAGATGGAAGACGCCGCGGCCGAATCTCCACCAGTGATGGCCGGGGTCGAATCGGAGCAGCCGGGGCCGAGTACGCCCGCGCCGCTACGACAGGAGGAGGGGGATGCGTCGGCCGAAGGACTCCGGCTGGCCCACTCCCGCCTGGCGGACCTGCTCTACGCCGCGGCCGCCGCGTTGGAGGAGATCACGCGGCTGGGGGCTGGAGGAGCAGCGCGGGTCGACGACGGCAGCCGGCGCGGGGCGACGTTTCCCGCCACCCCGACGCGGCTCGCGGTCAAATTTCCCGCCATCTCTACAGTACGAGCGGAGGGCGGGGCCGGCCCGCGTCACGTGTCTGCTGAGCGCCAAGCACAAGCCGTGACATCATCAACGCCGGCCGGCGCGTCAACATCAGAGCGACCGGCGATGCCATGTGCACGGCCCGCCCACACTGTATCATCGGCGGGGAGCGACGGAGAGCGTTCTGCGGCCACGGACGCCGCCTTACAACAGCGTCTGCCGCCTCTTAAAGAATTTGTCGGCGCTGACGGAGACTGGGGCGGCTTCAAGAGGCGGTTCATCGCTCATCAAGAGATGGCGAACTGGTCGGACGCCGAGGCTCTACGCGCGCTGCCAGCGATGCTGGACAACGACGCCCTGGCTACCCTCACCTCGGCGCCGAGGGAAAAGCGCGCCACTCTACACCTGGCGTTGCAGCTGCTGTCAGCCGTCTATGGGCCGCCTTCGGACTGCAGGCAGCTGTTCCACGATCGGAGTCGGGGCGCCAACGAGTCACCCCTGGCCTTCCGGACGGCTCTCCTGGCTCTGGCAAAGGCTGCTTTCCCAAGGATGGACGAGGAAGGAGTGGATGCCATGGTGGCTGAGAAGCTGCTGCTACTCGCTGACGAGCTGGACGTCAACGTCTTGGCTCAGGACGACGCGGAGATGTCGTCCCTGCTGGTCGCGCGCCACATCCACGGGGGCTTGCGGTCCCTGCGTCGGAAGGCGGCAAAGGGGGCGGCCGGCCATGCCATGGCGACCACCGCCCTCCCATCGGAGGAGGTCTGCGGGGTGGAGCGGCGAGGGGAATGGAGATCGGCGGCACCGCAGGCTCGGAATGGACCGAGCCGCCAGGAGCAGCCCAGGTCATCTGGGGCGCTCACACGCTGCTACAACTGTGGCCTGCAAGGCCACGTTGCGTCTGGATGCCGGGCTCCCCGTCAGCGCGGGGCGACACCTCGTCAGGACGCCACGCCGTCTCCTCCCAAGCTCCAGCAGAGAAATACGGCGAGTCGCGGCACCTCACACGTTTGGCCCACGCACACATCCGACACACACTCACGCGCTCAACTAAACAGGGCTCCAAATTCCCCGTCCGTCGCGCGCGATTGTTCGGTAATGCGGCGAGCGCTCCAACCGGGTCAGTGGTCGGAGCTCGCCCATCGTGTCGTTGCTGCGTCGGCGGGATCATCGGTCGTGGTCGGTCACATTGATGGGGTAGAGGTGCGGATTTTAATTGACACAGGGGCATCGGCGACCATTATATCTGATTTAATTTATAACATCCTTCCCGTTCAAAGTCGTCCCTTGCTCCCTGTTGACGTGCCGTGCTATGCCGCTAACGGGGGCTCTCTGGGCATTATTGGCCAAATCCGCGCCACTATCTGCATTGGGGACATTAAATTATCCGGCCCTGTTTTGGTTTCCTCCTCACTCGCGGTTCCGTGCCTGTTGGGGACGGATTTTCTGGCCAAAATGCCCATCCGTATCCTTATTGACCAAGGGTGCATTGAGCTCCCATCGGGCCGACGCGTTACATTTCTGTCTTCCCCCACCACGGAGCGTCGGGCGTTTGCCACCGTGCAGGCGCTCGTCACAAAAACTGTGCGCGTGCCTCCGGGGGCTCAGATGCTCGTCCCTCTTAGGTTGCGTCGGCCGTTTGATGCAGGGGTTGCGGATCGGGGGGTCTTGTTGGGTCCATCTCGGGCCGGGGTCAATGGACCCGATTTGCTCGCGGCTCAGACTATGGTGAGAGGGGATGGGGACCCCTTCATTGCAGTCCTTAATGTGGGATCGCGAACGGCCGTGGTTCCTCAAGGGACCGTGCTTGCACACGCAACGCCGGTGCCCTATGAGGAACCACTCGTGGGTCAGGTATCCACCGATCCTCCGTCGCGACCGCATTCGGACTCTGATGACGGATGGCTGGATGCGCTTTGCGCGGGTTCAGTGGACCTGTCTGACTCGCAGCGCGCGCAGCTGCGAGTTCTCCTGAGCGAATTTGCTGACGTTTTTAGTCAACACAAATTTGATATTGGTTGTACAAAATTGCTGCGACACCATATTGACACGGGTGACAGCGCGCCAATCCGCCAAAATCCCTTTCGGTTGAGTCCCGCCGAAAAGGATCATGTCAAATCGGCTGTTGATGACATGCTAGCCGCCGATATCATTTCCCCTTCCACCAGCCCGTGGGGCGCGCCGATCGTTTTGGTGAAGAAACACGACGGCTCACTGAGATTTTGTGTTGACTTTCGGCGTCTCAACAAAATCTCTGTGGCAGATGCGTACCCGCTTCCTCGGATGGATGAGTCGCTCGACGCCTTGGCCGGTGCACGATTCTTTTCCACCCTTGATTTGCTATCTGGATTCTGGCAGCTTCCTCTGGATGACGAATCGAAACCTAAGACTGCTTTTCGTACACCGCAGGGCCTCTTCCAATTTAACCGTTTGCCGATGGGTTTACATTCTGCGCCGGCAACTTTTCAGCGGTTAATGGAATTGGTCTTGGCAGGTTTGCAATGGGATTCGTGTTTGATTTACTTAGACGATGTCATCGTCTTTAGCAAATCCTTCGAGGAACACCTCCAGAGGTTGCGTGCTGTTTTTCTCAAAATGCGGGCTGCCAATTTGAAATTTAAACCACAGAAGTGTCATTTACTCCGCGAATCGGTGCGATATTTGGGTCACATTGTTGGGCGCTCGGGGATATCCACTGATCCCGCCAAAACGGAATGCGTCAGCTCCTGGCCGACTCCCACCTCTGTGGGAGAGGTCAGGAGTTTCATTGGGTTCGCGTCGTATTATCGGCGATTTGTGGCTGACTTCGCTACGATTGCGAAACCATTGCATGCCTTGACGTCCAAGGGAGTCAGGTTTCATTGGGGGCCGGAGGAGGAGGCTGCTTTTCGCGCCCTCAGAAATGCTTTGGTGGGAGCTCCGCCGTTGAATTACCCGGATTTTTCACAACCCTTCTTGCTCGATACTGACGCAAGTAACACGGGCATCGGGGGTGTGCTGTCCCAGCTCATCGGGGGCGTAGAGCATGTGGTGGCTTACGGTAGTCGGGTACTGTCTCCAGCCGAACAGCGGTACTGCGTTACCCGTCGGGAATTATTGGCCATTGTTTATTTCATTCAGCAGTACCGCCCGTATCTGTACGGTCGGCGGTTCACCGTCCGTACAGATCATGCGGCCCTACAGTACGCCCTGCGGGTTCAACAACCATCGGGCCAGTTGTCTCGATGGTTGGAGATCCTCCAAGACTATGACTTTGTCACCACATATCGTAAGGGTGTCCGCCACACGAACGCTGACGCCCTGTCACGATTGCCACCCACTTCGGAGTGCGCGTGCCTGTTGGGTTCGGGGCGTTGTAGGCCCCCGAACGTCACCACCGATTCGGTCCTCGTGGCCGCTACCGATGCACCTTCGGCTTCGGGTCCTATCGAGCAAGAAGGGAGGGATTCGTTGCTGGGGTTGCCGGTCGCGGAATGGGGACGCCTCCAAATGGAGGACACCTCCCTCCTCGCTTTGCGCCGTCGCGTCGGGGGGGCTGGTCAGGGGGTGGAAAACGTTGACTCGTGGGGGTTGTTCCAGGGTCTTTTGATGCACTGGGATGGAAAAACCCGGCGCCAGCGGCTTGTGGTGCCTGCTGCTTTAAGGGGTAAGGTGGTATGGGCTGTTCATGAGCGGCTTCTGCACTTGGGGGTTCACAAGACCTTTGCCACGCTCCAGCTGGATTTCTTCTGGCCGGGCATGGAAAAGGACGTGGGGGATCTCTTGGGGTCATGCACGCAATGCGCGCAGAGGAAGCCGCCTGCGAGGGGGTCCAACCCTCCGCTGCAGTCCATAAAAGTTTCCCGGGTTAACGAGCTCGTCGCTCTGGACATACTTGGGCCATTTCCCGCTACGCCCAGGGGCAATAGGTATTTACTAACGGGGGTTGAATACTTCACGAGATGGCCTATGGCCTGGCCCCTGGCGAACCAGTCGGCAGCAGCCATCGCGGAGGCCTTTGTCCAGGGCTATGTCCTCGACAAAGGTGCTCCGGAACGGCTGCTTACTGACCAGGGTAGGAATTTTTCTGGTAAACTCCTACGTGAGGTGTGCGACCTCTTGGGTACGGAGAAGGTTCGGACCTCTCCGTATCACCCACAAACTGACGGGATGGTGGAACGGCTGCATCGGACCATCACGTCCATGCTGTCCCAGCAGGTGTCGGTATCCCAGACGGATTGGGACCTCCGCATAGCCGGTGTGTTGCAGGCCTACAGAATGGCTCCTCATGCGGCCACCGGATTTTCCCCTTTCTTTTTAATGTATGGGCGCGAAGTTAACCCCCCTGTGGCGACCCAGCTGAAGCTCTCGGCGCTCCCGGCGAAGTCTAATTTGTCCGAACACATTAAATTTAACATCGCTAAATTGTCTGAGGCGCGGGAAGCGGCCGTGCAAAATTCTGAACTCCGCCAGAAGGCGAACGAGAGGCTTCGGTTGGGGCGGGTGCAGGTGGTCAAATGGGAACCAGGGGACAGGGCGTGGTTGCACTGTCCTCAGGTGCCGCTGGCAACCTCGTCGAAATTGGTACGGCCGTGGCGGGGGCCAGTGGAGGTCGTGCAGGTTTTGCGGCCGCAATGTGTTCGCGTCAAATGGGGGAGGCGCCGGTGGTATGTGCACCCCTCAAGGTTAAAACCATTTGTCGCGCCGCCCCGTGGTTCACACACACACACGCATGGCCAAACGTGTGAGGGTGTCGCCGACTCCCCGTCGTCGCTGCACTCGCCTAACCTGACGCCAACTGTTCCGTCCCCAGGTGAAACAGGAGTGACGGGTCCACACCCACCAACCCCTCCCGGAGGGGTCGGGGGTCACTCGGCAGCGACGCCTGACTCTCTTGCACCCGGACCGTCAACACCCGTCACTGAGCGTGCCAGGACGGGCCCTTGTGATGGGCCCGCCGCGCGGACGCGCGCCAAAACGCGCAGACTATTGTGAGGTCGGCCGTTGGGGGGCCTTGCGGACAATGGGAGGGGTGGCGTCCGGAGTGTGTGTATATATGTTGGTTTTGGGGTATTTATTCGGGGGGGGTGCGTCGGGTTATTTTTTTTTCCTCTCTCTCTCTCTCTCTTCCTGTTGTTGTTCTTGTTAAGGTTCTCTTGTTCTTGTTAAAAATTACGCGAGGCACACACACGGGGTTTTTGTGAGGGATGCACCTTTATTCTGATTTTTTTTTTTTTTTTTTTTTTTTGCAGCCAGGGACGGCTGCGAGCTGTACAGGGGGGGGTGATGTAGAGGTGTAATTGCGCATGGCTACGAATGTTGAGGTGTGATTATGCATGGCCACGGATGGCCAACAAACACAATGGGCGGGGTTACGGCCGTACACAAGGGTGGCGCTAGCACCGACGTCCGCATGTGTATCCCCCACGGGCCCCCCCTCGGGGGCGAGTCCTATAAAAGGTGATGAGCTCGAGGGCTCGAGGTCGGGACTCAGCTTTAACCAGAGAAGACGGAAGACCAGCTAGTGTAGGCCCCAGAGCTCCCCTGGCTCGCTGTCCTTATAAGGGCCGACCAGGGCAAGCCGGTGGCGTGGCCCCGAGAGCCCAGACGAAGCTGGTCTGGTGACTCAGGGAGCCGGGATCCCAGCTTAACCAAGCTGGGACAGATAGCCTCCCCTAGTCCCGTAGTGGAGGAATTGGTATAGGTTAGAGGGGTTAGCTGTCGAGAATCCCTGTAGCCAAGTGACCTGTACAACTGTGTTGGTGTAATAAATAAGTGTGCCTCCGATCCTGTCGTCAAGCCTCCATATATACTTACTACATGAGTATGCCGGAGATTATTATTTTTTTCTCCGTGGCAGCCTCGGGCAAAAAATTGCTGAATGCTAGAAATGCAAAACATTGCCTTGGGCTTGTATTAATAAAACCACCACGGACAACAATAACAGTACAGTACTTCTCTATTCGACCAGCCGTAATAAATATGCAGAGCGGTCTTCAGAGATCACTTTTCATATATAGAGCGAACATTTCAATTTACCGTTCCCATTTAAAGATGAAAGGCATTGTCGCGGGTTCGCCTTCCGGCAGTCGTGAAGGATGTGTCCGCAAAACATTTCACGTACATCCGAGGTTTCGTACGGCCGTGATGATAATAAATCGAGATTCGCAAACAAGAAGAAAAAAATAATCCCACCATTTTTGTTGTTGTTGCAAACTCTCGATGTATGTTGTCTGGCAAAATGCACTACGGATGAAATTATATATAATAGGGATGCCAACGCTGGCACGATGCATTAGTATGATATTAACTCAGCGAAAAGGCCACGTTGGAGAATTTCATCTTATTCGTGTTCATCCGTGTGTCTCTTCCTCTCTCTCACCCGCTGTTTATCAACATTGCAAAGTTAGGCAGGGTTCAACGGCAACGAGATGTGTGCCCTGCATTCTTAAAGGGGATCAAATCCCACCTGTGACAATTTAAAATGATGAGACCCTCGACTGCCAATATAACACTCAGCAGAGACACGCATATGAATCCGGCTCCTAGGCGCGCGACGGGAACGAGAGATCGCCGTGCATGCCACTCAAGCCCTCTGCGTAATCACATTTGACACGTCATTAAACTTTCAGGACGGTTGGAAGGGACGCCCACGACTTAGCGTCTCGCACGGCCACGAAATAGCACTCACTGACCGGGCAAATGGATGATGCCTTATTTTCGTCTCCCTGTCTTTTCGTTTGTTATTTAAGTTAAACAAGTGAATACTTGTTTCTGCAATGATGTCACGTTAGACTTCAACAAAGGAACTTGAGTTATTCAAGAGGAATGCTCACGCTAAAAAAAGCACTTAAACTGCACACATTATTAGCATCCTTACCCCGACATCGCCCATTGTTTGACTTTTACCAATCAACCAAATGCTTTGCAATGCATATTAACTCAGGCAGTTCACACAAATCAACGATTTGCATTCATAACGTTATCTCCGCACAGACGGGGGGGGGGGGGGTGGATCCTCGAGCTCCTACTCGTGGAGGCGAGCAAACAATTGCGGGGCTGCACTCAATCGGCCATAAATATATAATTCACCGTGTTGGAATTATTTGTTGTTCATTCTTATTGACGGACACAGAAAAGCAATAGGCGGCACGATGCCTGCCGAGTGTTTACGCCGCAGCAGCGAACGTGCGACGGTGTGCTGCGATCGCGAACCCAGCGTCGTCGGTAACACCGGGCGCCATGGGCGAGCGGGAGGGTGTAAATTGGTCGGCGTCGATGCAGTGGTGACGCACGGCGTGTGCTCTGCCCCGTCGTTCGCAGAACAATACCTCCAGTGTCCGAGTCTTGGAAATTGGGGTCCAAGCCCCGATCGAGCATCTTGAACACCTTCTCGACGCTCAGCTGCCGGATGTAATCCATGAACCTCCGCAAGTTCACCTTTCAGGAGGAGGGTGTGGATGGGAGAGAGAGAGAGACAGCAAATGTGTTATATCATGAGCCAATTGATATTGAAAAAAACTATTCAAAGTGTATGGTATGTGGACCTTCTTTTTCAGTGGCTCTGAGCCAACGGTGGAAATTCTCAATTCCTTTGGAAGGGGGAAGGTGGGGCGGAGTCTCTCCATCCTAAGACAATCATCGCTGCTCTCCCACAAAGTGGTACCAATTGTATTGGTGATAGGCTGAGCTTAAAGAGATATACACTTTAAACCTGATTAGCAGTCAAATACTCAAAGCATAGCATTGCACGGATGGATAATTTACACTTATATAGAGTGGTTAAATTCATTACTATCAAGTGTTTATCAGCAGGTGAGAGACCATTGAACCAGCATATCTACTTTTGGTTGGGAGACGGGAACATTAATGATTATATTCAATAACTATGAATAGCAGAAAAATGAAATTTGAACCGTTATGTCAATTACAGTCAATGGTGGTAATTTTGTGCAGCTACATTGGGTCAGTTCCTGACAAAGTGTTCCATTTTCACCATTAAGCACAATCGTGCCGTATCAACGTGTAAAAAAAGCGTGCATTATGATGCAAAGTGCACAGCAATCATTCGACAGCATTTAGTGCATTCATTCATTCATTCGAATTGCGAGTCCATTCGCACGTACGCGCACATACGCGCACAACGCATTAAGGACCCGAGCACACGCGTGCGTACAACCGTTCAAGAATCCGATTCCCAGAACCGGCAGGCATGTTCCAGTGGAGCCTAAAAACCATGGAAAGCCCCCTTCGTGTCATCCACAAAAATGCAGTCGAGCAGCGAAATATCCACTATGTGCAGTGGTCTATTGTCACAAAGCGCACGCTCAAATTGTGACAAAAATCGCTGGCAACGTCTACGATAACCTGGGTCACATTACCACAGCGAGTGCGCTCCAAAAATGCAGCGGGTCCCAAAATGCATCGCCGCTGCCTTCCAGCCTGCGCTGCCACATCTGCCATTTACAGCCTGCATGTTGCCGCGTGCCTGCGTAAGCGGGAGAATAAGAATGTATATCTGCCGAAAAAATATTAGCTATTCTTTCCCCCCCCATCATCTCACTTGCAAATCTTTATTTCGAGAGAATGTGGCGGACTGAACTTTAGCAGAGCTCGAATGCATCAGCTGAGTGTTAGTTTCACATTGGAAACAGCCCTAAAATGGGACGTAAAAATGTTCCTTATACAATGAGTTTCTCTAACCTGCTCTTAATAGTTCGCAACCGGTCAAGAGTTAAAACCCGGTCCAGAGTTTAGCTTGTACTGAATCAATGCTGTTGAAATGATGCACGACCAATCGGACGTGTTGCCCAATGGGATGTGTAATCATATTTAACTTGTTTATGTTATATATTATGCTCCTAACAGGTATTCTCCAGCTGGGTAAATGTCTGTCCTGTCCCAGATGCTATTCTGTACACCCTGACAGATGGGCTTCATCAAGCTGCGTGTAAAATATCATTAATTTTATGACGTGGTCAAGTGGCTCATGGGGCTAATACTACGTCAGAATACTCTTTGGTTCTTTTGGTAAAGTCACGTAGGTATAATTGTTTTTAAAAAAAAATTATGTTATTATTACTTTACCGAAAGAACCAAAGAGTATGGATCCCTGCAGTCACAAAAACTTAAAATCTACTATGTCAGAACATTGAGTGGTAACTGCTGAAAATACTGGGTTCATATATGTGGGTACATCTGCCTCAGAAGCATAAAGGAGTTGACGATTTGGGCCTAGTCACCAACAACTGCACAAAAAAACCCATCACATTAAACACGCATGTACTAGGGAGGCAGTGAGGGTTGGTGAACGGCTCATGAGTGTCAACGTCGAATAGCCCGGGCTCGCCAGAAGGCAGTCCAGCAAAGCCGTACACCACCCCACCTGTTCCATCTGTATGGGGATAGAGTGATTCCTCTTCACACGCGCGGGTTTTGTCCAGATGCTCCAGCTTCTTCCCACATGCTAACAATCTTAATAGATGGAGGATAGCAGAGCTTGGGCAATTGTTGGCGACGGCTCATCGCATTCCAAGTTGAAAGTAATATTATATGGTACGTTTGAACTCTAAGGATACAACTTCGACGCTTGACACCCACGTGCCTAACACAATTTTCAAGGCAAATCGAAAGGTGTGTTACCTAGTGCAGATAGCAGGCTATCCATAGTGATCATCCAATGAATATGTTTAATTTAGTGCTAACTGCACGTCTGGCTTCTTAGCATATGAATTTGTGTGTGTGTTTAATGGGGTCTGTGTTGCGTTGCGTTTATCGGTTTGTACTTTCACTAAGCGTTCTCTTTAGCATGTTGCCCCACACAGCCTATCCAACATATATCCTTTAGTACAGCTGCGGTATGGAGAGGAAAATTCAATGAGCCATCACACCAACCTGCTGTGCATTTTGTTAAGGATATACGCACGCTAACAAATCAATAGCTGCACGTTGCTTTGGATTTTTCATTTTTATTAAATATCACATGCGCACAAAAAAACGTGCACTGTGTGGGCAAAATACTTTTTTAAGCATTTTACAAAGCCACTAGTTTATCAAGAACTGAAAAATATGGTCATTTTGTCTTAAGTCAATTCATGAATTGAGCAAATGTGACAAAACCTACAGGCAGCGGTGAGACAGTGAGATAACTGTAGGACGTGTTTCATCTCAGTTCTTACGTAACTTCACAAGAGGTTACGTGATGTGTTATCTTCTGGGGGCCTTCCTCTGACACACACTTCTTGGATGGAAATGTCATGTCATAAGAGCACTATTTGAATATCATTGGGAGGGGGGGGGGGGTAAACATCCCAATACATTTATAGGACAGGTGATTTATTAAAGTCTTTTGAAACTGAAGTGAGACCATCAAACTCACTACATATGAGAGAATGTTCCAATACTAATTGGACTTAATCCATTAACCAGGTAAAGCCTTAACTGGTTGTTGATGTCTCCATCCTACCTGACATTGTCAGCAGTTATTTCCGACTCTCTGAGTTACATTACCAATTTACATTACCAAGTTAAATGTCTTTAAATTGACGGGCTAAATGTCTCACTAACAAAGCCAACGTTGCCACTTTCCCTCGATGTGGCGGTGGCTCTCGTTTTTTAGCAGAGTACTGTATAACTGGCTGTGATGTTGTTGTGTGTGTATCTCTGTGTGTGTGTCTCTCTGTGTTTGTCTCCCTGTATGTCTCTCTCTCCCTTGTGTCTCTTTGTGTGTATGTGTGTCTCTTTCTGGGTGTCACTTTGTGTGCGTGTCTCTCTCTGTGTGTGGTTGTGTCTTTCTGTGTGTGTCTCTCTAGCTGGGTGTATCTGGGTGTGTCCCTCTGTGTGTGTCTCTGTGTGTGTGTCTCTCTCTCTGTGTCTCTCTAGGTGTCTCTCTCTCTATGTGTCTCTGTGTGTGTGTCTCTGTCTCTGTCTCTCTGTGTGTGTCTCTCTGTGTGTGTCTCTCTGTCTGTGATGTGCGTCTCTCTATATGTGTATCTCTCTCTGTGTCTCTCTCTGTGTGTGGGTGTTCCTCTCGGTGTGTGTCTCTCTCTCCTTCCCTCGATGTGGTGTTGTCCCTCGTTTGTTTCCCTCGTTTTCTAACGAGCTGGATGTCTCACTAGGACAGCCACCGTTGTGTTGGTTCATTTACATTGACATGCTCATCTCTCACAATACAATGGCCACCTCCTCAGATCTTCGTCATCGTGGAGGTGCATCACCCCCCCCCCCCCCCCCTCTCGGCTCTCGAAATAAAAGGACTTGTTTCAGCAGCCTGTTTCTCTCTCCGACCTGAAGACGATTGCTTGTGTTGCGATCGAAACAGAGCCGGCCCTAAACCTTTGGGGGCCCTAAACAAAATTTGGTTGGAGGCCCCTTTGATGTATGATTTTTTTCACCCACTAGCTAGCAGTGACTCTAGGGGGCCCTCTGCTGGCCACGGGGCCCTTTGCAATTGCAAGGGTTGCTTAGTGGCTGGGCCGGCTCTGGATCGAAACGTCGTGATCTATTATTTTTTCTACCTACGTGACTTTACCGAAAGAACCAAAGAGTATGGATTCCTGCAGTCACGAAAGCTTCAAATCAATATTTAATCCAATAAGCTCAGAGGTATCGATTCATTGCAACGATGGTCCACAAAAGAAAAATGCTTTGTATTCAAATGTGAACTTGGCCTGGTATATATATATATAAAATAAATTTTGATGGCTTTCATATTCAGTGGGGAGCTGTACACCAGGGATTCACTTTGATGCGAGTCTGTCTGTCTTGCAGTATGTGTGCAGAAAATCAAACTCAGCCTGCAACAACTTAAAACAACTCTTTTGATGGACAAAAGTGAAGACCGCCATGCAATTGCCCAAGTTGATTGTATTCCAGAAATTAATGGAAGAGCGAGGAAAAAAATATCAAATAGTCCCCATACTAAAATAGCATTCAAAGATGCTCGTCACCTTCGACACTGCTGACCCAGAGGTGGAAATTCCTCGTTACATTGGCAGTGAGTGGTATCTACAGAGCACAAGCGCAGTTAGCGTCCCATGTCAGAAATCCTCCCTGGTAAAATGATGGGCTTTCATTGGACCCTTGACTCGTGGCCTTCCAACTGTGAGACAGGCACTTTGGCACAATGAGAGCCATCCCGAATGCTATTTTTTCAATGGCACTTTACTAATTCTTGGAAAGCCACCCTGAATTTCAAGTCTTTGTTTCAGGAGAGTCCTGCATTGAGTTGTTTGGTATTTTTCAATTACGCAAAGATGCTGCATATATAAATATATAAATATAAAGCAGTAGGCAGGGAAGTATACCAATACACTGTTAGATTTATAATTCACATCGCTCAAGCACCACAGCTTAGCATCTGATGCATACAAATGTGTTTCAATGATGCTAAGCTTATATCATCGGTCTGTGGGAATTTGTGAGTAAATCTACGGCAATTC